TTAATAACATATGAATTAAAAAAAAATACTTTTTATGGACTGTTTTGCGTTACTTTACGGACTATTTCCTTCACTTTATGGATAATAAGAATCAAAATAATACACGTAGAAAATAAAACACAAACGTTTTACGAATAGTAAAACTTGAAAATTCGATGTTTGAACCAGAAAAAGGAAACTGTTTTTTAATTTCTTTAACTATTTTGGCATTGCTTTTAGAACTGAGAGAACTTACACGTATTTTAGAAAGTTTGAATAAATATTTTTAACGTATAAAGCATTTTTTTTCCTCTCAACAGATCAACAGGGAATAAAGTAAAGCTTTGTTCTCTCGTTTTTGACTAATAATCTGGTACTTTATTCTTTCAGGAAAAAAATTAATGAATTACCGATTTTTACTTGTAAAATTTCAATTAAATGAACTAAATTTTCTGACAAGTTATTTGAAAAATTTTTCACTTCTGGCGTTATACTTATATTTTTGGGATTATTGGAATTATTTATTCTTTTGATACATAAATAATTATTAAAGTGTAATGAGATAATTGATAATTAAAAACTATTTGTTCGAATTCGGATTAGATTGATCTTTTTTTAGTTTTTATTAATATTTATGGAATAAAAGTTTGTACTGCCAATGAGATGAAGCAAGTATTTACTACACATATTACGAAAATATATTAAAAACAGTTTTTTATTTTAAAAATAATTACTAAATCAGCGTAGTTACAAGAACAATCATAATTAACAATTACAATAACATTGTAAAAACGAATATATCTGCGCAGTTCCAAAGCAAGTCTAGAGCATTTGCTTAATTTTGAAATTTAAAAAACAAATTAAAATGAAAATGACCGTTTTCTTGTCTTAAATGCAATGCCTATGTACTTATTTGGACAAAAACATTCTTACTTTTCAAAACATGAAGCTTTTATTGAAAAATTCAAACTTCCATTATTAGGGGCAAATCGTACGACAATTTTATTTCCACAAAAATTTTCTTTATTTAAGAGTTCTAAATCCTCTGTAAAGTTTTATACAAAACAATTCTGATTTTTTTTGTGACATTTTTTAACTTGACTTTATTAATAGTTAAGTGTAATTAAAAGTTGGGTAATTGAGGCAATTTTTTATTTTATTTGTCTCAGAAGGGAAACTTCCTGATCTTCATTTGAATAACGGACAAGTCGCGAAACTGGAGAAATTTTAACTTGATTAATTAACGAACTATATTGCGATGTTGTTAATCAAATTAGCTGCGGGCCAACTCTGCAAACTAAATTAATATAAGGTTCGATACATTTACAACTAGTGGACATGTAAGGATTTGAAAGTCATTAGAGATTATGAGGATCGTTGTAAATTGAGCTATTGTTTTTTTGTTCTAAATATGTAGTAGTAAAACAGTGAAAAATTGTCCAAAATTGGATTATTATATACTCTTGTTGAGAGCACACAAGGGTCTAACAAGGGAATTGTGGTGCAAACTTGTGGTCTTATCAATATATTATTCTCCCAGGGCTTGATCTTATTTCTGATGTGTCAGTGGCACTAAAATCAATCAAAATTTTAATTAAATAAGTAGCATATGCTCTTATAAATTTCACTTTATCACTTCTATAAAAAAGTTATTGGTTATAAATTTCATATATATTCAAGATGGCGACGTTAACTGTTAGATGCATCATTCTAATAAAAATTTATTCCTGTACTTTGATCACGTAAGCAAAGAAAAAACAAAAGTGTCACTCGACAATATTCAACCGTTCAGAAATAATTTACGGAAACGCTTTTCACATTAAAATAAATGGCATTTTAAAAATGAAACCACTGAATCATATCGCATATTTCAAATGTGTCGACAGAACGCTAGAAGGAAAATTTAAATGAGGCGGCGAAGTGAAATATCTTCACGTATATGTGATTGGTGTGAACAAAAATTGAACGCTTTTGTTCTCCGAAAAATGCTCCACAGGAGGACAAAATTATAGTTCTTTTTTGATATTCTTACTTGTTTCAAAGGGAATTTGTAACCAGTTGTCGAAAATTGCGTTTCTACTCTTTGAAAAAATAATGCTTGTATTGCAAAAAAAATGGAAGTTCTAATGTTTTAAAAATTGTTTTCGTGTTTTTGTTTTGGGTTTTTTTGGGGACTATTAGTAATAAGAAAAAATAAAGTGATTTTGATTTATTAGTAATTAATTTTTTAAATAAAAAATTGTAAACTCTTGCGTAAAGATAACGTATCAAATAATGGTAGTTTACAAATAATAACTTGTTTAATATACATTTAGTCAAATTATAATTTTTAGGTTTATTTAGCTTTAATTAAACAAAATGAATTGTTATTTTTTATCACATCACAGTTTTGTGTAAGAACGAGAATTTTCCTACTTTCTGCACAAATGCCAACGCTCTAAAATTGATTTAAAATTCAAATTGTTGCTGAATTATTGCAAATTTATTACCAAATGGGTCTAAATGTGTATTAAAACACATTTCATTTACTTGCGCTTGGACTTCTTTTCTAAAAATTTAGGCAGCTTGAGTGACAAGATCAAGATCTAAAGGGTTTTCAAAGATCGGCAGAAGAGTTTTAGGAATGAAAATATGTTACAAGATTGCTATAAAGAATACTGATCCAACAATGTATAAAAAACAAAGTAAAATAACGCGGTTTTTGTATTTTTGTTAGTCACATATTTATTAAACGTGACGTGGTGGACTTTTTTAAATACTTTTTTAACTCAGTGCTTTAATATCCATAGAAAATTATAACTTTCAGCTAAGGTATAAAAATCGTGTAGACTAATGATTATTAATACATAACTGAAAAATGAAAATAAAAAATAGAAATTAGATTGACATTTTTATGTATGGTTTTTTAATCAAATTTTTAATTATCGTACAATCGAGCACAAGAGTTTTTGGAATGAAAATATGTTAGGAGATTGCTATAAAGAAAACTGATACAAAAATGTATAAAAAACAAAGTAAAATAACTCATTTTTAATTTGTTGTTTCGCGGTTTTTATATTTTTGTTAATCACATATTTCTTAAACGCGACGTGGTGGACTTTTTTAAATATTTTTTTAACTCAGTGCTTTAATATCCATAGAAAATTATAACTTTCAGCTAAGGTATAAAAATCGTGTAGACTAATGATTATTAATACATTGAAAAAATGGTGGATGCGCCGGGATAGCAAATTATAATTAACTGAAAAATGAAAATAAAACATAGAAATTAGATTGACATTTTTTATTTATGTATGGTTTTTTAATCAAATTTTTAATTATCGTACAATCGAGCACAAGAGTTTTTGGAATGAAAATATGTTAGGAGAATGCTATAAAGAAAACTGATACAAAAATGTATAAAAAACAAAGTAAAATAACTCATTTTTAATTTGTTGTTTCGGTATTTTTATATTTTTGTTAATCACATATTTCTTAAACGCGACGTGGTGGACTTTTTTAAATATTTTTTAGAAAATTATACTTTCAGCTAAGGTATAAAAATCGTGTAGACTAATGATTATTAATACATTGAAAAAATGGTGGATGCGCCGGGATAGCATATTATAATTAACTAAAAAATGAAAATAAAAAATAGAAATTAGATTGACATTTTTTATTTATGCATAGTTTTTTAATCAAGTTTTTAATTATCGTACAATCGGAGAAAAATGTTTTTCCAACACAAATAATGAATAATGAGCGATTTTTGTTTTATAAAGTTTCTCGAAATTTTTCTGAGATAATATTATCATACTTGGCATAACCAAAAATTTTTTGCAATTTTTTTCTGGACTGTGTGACTTTAATTTCTATTTTCACAAAATTAAAGCGCCACTACTGTAGCAAATAGAAAACATATTTAAGATTTTTTTTCGAAAAGATCACTTTTTTATAATGTATTCGGAGAAATCCAACAACACTTAAGGACACTTAGGAAATAAAAAAACATTAATTTTAAACATGAAAGTTGAAATGGATAATATTAATGTGTAGAGAGTTCAAGAGTTTGTGGCATTGAAATTGAATTATTATTAATTTTATTTTAATTATTTTTAACTTTTGAATTAACTTTTGCGGTTGCAATACACAAGTCCTCAATTTGATATGATATAAACAATATAATCGTACTTAAATCGATTTGTACATACAATTAATAGTTTTAACACGAGACTAAGCATATTAAACTCATTGAATACAACAACATTGAAACAAAAAAATGTTAACAAAGCAACAATTAGCATCAATTACGGAGTTTTTTTTCTTCAAGTTAACTTGCTTAAACACGGTAAAATAATTTTTAATAATTTTCTTTGTAAGAAAATATTAAACCAGCAACCCACGCATCAAGCTAAAACGCCGTCAGGCAAATTGTTTCAGGAACACGCCATTAGTTAATTAGTTATTTTTGTGGCTCAAAAAACAACAATGATGATAACGGAAGTAAATCACAGTACCGTTACTCGAATTTTATAAACAAACAAATGAAGGGGAACCAGACATTGATTAAATTAATACTGCTCTTGAAGAAATGAAAGGATTTGTTTGTTGATATCGTTGCTTTGAAAAAACGAGCAATGCCACTTATTTTCGTCTTATCGGAAGTGGGTATTTTTCCATCAGATGTTATTTCGTGTTTTGAATTACATTTCCTATTTTGACATTTATGGTTAACGAACGGTGAATTTTACATTTCTTGGATAAATTATTGCTGATGGTTTGGAAGTGTTATAAAAATTTATCGCATCGTTTTACCAAACCGAAATCAAAACCTAAATTTTTCTTTCCTCATCAGAGCTTTTTGCACATGAAAGAAACGGCAATTCTGTGTTTATCTTTGATGTATATCTTTACGATGAAAAGATCGTAACTCTAATGTATGTAAATTTTCAGTGCGAACCCGGTTTGGCTGCCAGCGTCATGTATAATCTGCTTTACAACAAGCCCCAGAAGCTGATGTTACTTGCCGGATGTAGCACTGTGTGTACCACCGTGGCTGAGGCGGCCAAAATGTGGAACTTGGTAGTGGTAAGTGGAGCTTTAAGCTAATCTAAATGCAGAGCATTTGTTACATACTGCAATTAGCTTGCAGAGATAATTAAGGTAATTACTGTAAAAGAATCAAAATGTTAGGAGATGGGTATCTAGGGAGAGAAACTTATTAAAGGAAATGTGGAGAGGGAGTAACAGATCCAAGAAATGACTTAACAATATGAAAAAGTGAGCAAAGTGGTGTTAATTAAATTGTCAAACTTTTACAAATAACAAACTGAGTCAAAAACTTGAGGTGTACTAATTAAAACTTTAATGCAAATGACAACTGATTAAAAGATGTTATTGTTAGCCGATTTTTTTTTCAGAGCATTTTAATACATTTTTTTAAATTTGAAGCAATACAAATTTGGAGGGTGTTATTTTTATTAAACTTTAGTGGTTTACAAAATTTTAACTTTTAAATTTGTTTTTACTATAAATGGTGGATGCACCGGGGTAAATTTTTATAATATAACCCTTTTTTTGGATCGTTACTCGTAACTGTAATATCCAAAACCAGGAACATGAAAAAAATGTTTAAAAAATTCTTTCTGTCAAAAAATTTTGCCATTTATTTTTTGACATTTGACATTTTTTTATATCTATTTAATGATACTGATGATCTTGTATATGTATTTTTACAATCATTTAGTAAAGGGACAAAAATTTTGCTAATAAAAACCACAAATACTATTGAACAGAGTTACAATTTATGAAATAGCTTCCTTGTTTCCTCTTTAATAGCCTCTAGTAAAAAGCTTGGAAAATTATTTTTCGAACAGAAATAAATAGAGTTAAAGTGCAAACTTTAAACCCTCATAACTTCGAAATTTTTATAGATAAATTTTTTTTAACATTTTTCTCTGGGGCGCGAATTCTGGCGCACCCTGTATATGGTAGAGCCTTGGAAGTAGTGCCGAAAAAAATGAGTACCTACGATAAACATTGCTAGAATTTTCAACACTAAATTTTGATATATTTTTTTAATTCAAAAAATTCTACATATTTTAGAAATGTACTTGTAATTACAAAATTATTTTGAGATAATAATAGGTACGTATTATATTCTATTATGCGTTGTTTTTCTAATTTAAATTACTAATTTTAAAATGTTTTTTTCTGACATTTACAATTTTTTAAAATTACATTTTATTCGAGTTTTTTCTTGACTTAAAAGTATGTACTTTCAACATTTGTCAAAATAACTCTGCCATATGTTCAAAGGCATTTCTTAAAGGCAGGAATGCCACAAACTGATTTATTTACAAATTTCAAAAACTTATGTTTAATACCGGGTGAAAAAAAAGTATGGAACCAACCGTTTTTTGCATAAACAAATTACTTTACGAAAAAATTCATTAGTGCAGTACTATAAAACCTATGATCGTTTTTTATGAATAAAATGTTTCGAAATTCATTTTAATTTTCGAGTTTAGCAAAGCATTTTTATTAATTGGCAACCTAGATTATGACAATTTTTTTATTAAAGACTATGTTAAAAATCACATCTAATTAACAAAAAATGTTTTTGATATAGTAGTTTTTTAAATAAATTTTTAAAGTTGCCTTCCAAGCGGATCACGAAGATCTTCCGAACTTAACCAAAGTTCATGCATTTGGTCATAGGATGGGTCTGTTTTTTTGAGGTGATTTTGGATGGATGAAAAATGGACAAATGGACAATTAGATTAAAATTTTTAATTAAAAAAATTGTCATGGTGGGGTGCTATTTAATTTTTTTTTAAACTCAAAACCTAAAAAAATTTCAAAAAATTTTATTCCTAAAAAACGATCACATTTTTGTTATACTTGACACTGCACTTCGTAAAGTAATTAGTTTATGCAAAAAATGCTTGTTTACTTCTTATTCACCCGGTATAATCAAAGTATTAATTGAAATACTAAATTATTTTTTATTTGACAAATTTTGTAAAATTCCGCAAAGCCTAATTTTATTTAACTTACATATGAAATATTTGTATTACGTTTAGTAGTAACAAAGTTTCAGCTGGGACACCCTGATATTGAACATACAATACAGAAAATAAACACAAATTTAGCAAACATAAAAATTATTTTCGTGTAGATTTTGTATATTGTTTTCCGTATATCTCAGACGTCGTATTTTTTCTGTAAATGTGTTAGGAACAAAGTAGCATCTTTTCAAACAAATATTGAAAATACACAGAAGCAAAACATGACACGTATCAAAAGCTAAAATAATGTGATATTTCCCTCCTCCTTTGTATTTTCTCACGACTAAAAATTCAAGAACAAAATTCCATATAAAAATGAAATAATTTCAGTTATTTTTATAATTCATAGACTTGTAAAGATTTTTGTTTTTTTGTCGCTTTGGTAAATTAAATTCTGTGATAAAGATAACAGTGGTGTCCTGAACTGTCCTCCTTCGCTTCCCCTTGCGTCACCGATAACCTCGGGCCTGGATGAAATCAATAACTGGAATTCTTTGAGAGATATCAGACTCCAAACATTCTTCATTTATCTCGTGGAAGCATCTAATACGATTTTGTTTGTAACGGTGTTGATAAGGAATTTATTTACGAGGATCTTCATTTTAAGAAATACAAGAAAATTCACTTTTATATAATGTGAAATGGCAAGAGACATGTTAAATATTTACTCTTTGTTAAATAAAGTCGGAAACAGTGTTTGTATTCACTAAATGAGTACATACTTGTAAGGAATGCGCAATTCTTGATTTATTCCTCTCCGGTTAATTTCTGAACTAGATGAATTATTTGGCGAGTTTAACGAGAAAAGTTGGGTAAAAAAATTCATCTCTCTGAGTCAATATGTCTGTCTTTACTTCATAAAATTGCTGCATCCTTTTTGTCTCTTTTTGTCAATATTTCAATTAGTTGTTTTGTAATCCTCACATTAACACAAATTATCTCATTCATTTTAGTCGTAGAAAAAATGTCGAGTAAAATAATGAGCCATTTTACTCCCTAACCGCCACAAATGACTCTTGAAAAAGTGATGCGGTGAAAGCACGTCGAATACAGACTATCGCTTTAAAAACTTCTCAGTGATTTTCTCTATTCTATGAGAAAAGTAACAAATTTGTTTCCTCAGTGGTTTCCGTTTGATGAAAACGCAACTTTGCGGTTTTAAATCGGGGATTTTCAATTTTCTTAAGATTCGATGCATATTATGTATCGATTTTCGCTTGCTCTCCGGATTCATAACCCCGAGTTCCATCCGCTGGGTTACTATTCGGTTCATTACTTTGAAGGGATTATCTGCACACCTCTCCAAAAGCTCTAATCGGGTGTGTTTTTGAAAGGGTGTCAGATTCGGAAATCCAATGAACGCAGGCCTTTTTTTATTGCAGAATGTGAGAGCAAAAAACTTTTTCAATATGTTTTTTTTAATAACAAAAGAATTGCATTTTGTGACTTTTTAGTGATGCCTAATGCCTAGTTAATCTTGCCCTATTCATCAACACTTTTCCAAATATAATAATAATAAAATACAAGATTTAATTGGAAAACGTTTCAAAATTAATTTATTAATAGTTGTTTATCTACGACTGTGCCATAACGAAACTCATTTGAGTTGCGTAATGAAGCTTATTATCGCTCTAGTGCAATAAAGTGGCATTTAATATCTTTTTTTTAAACAAAGACTATTTTTATAACCTTATGTATTAAAACTACATCAATTGCCAACACAAAGAGATGTGTTCTAAAAATTCATTTTTACACTTTTTTTAACTTACGCAGTTGTAGATAAAGTTTTGTATGTAAAACGTAAAATAGAGGCTTCACAATTCGCACGCTCTTAGGCTAACTCGGGCTAACTCCTTCGTAATAGTTCCTATATCCTACTAGTTACATAACATAAATAACACTACTTATACATATTTATTCATTAAAAAAGTTATTGTGTTGTAAAAATTAAGAGACCCAGTTTTATACTTTTACAAAATCAAGAAATACATTTTTTTAAATACATTTTTGGTTTTATTAAAAATGCATTTTTAACAAAACCGAAGGTTTTTTTACTACAAACAAGTTTTCCAATTTCTCATGACAAGGATTTATTCAATTTGGAGTTTTGGCATAATACTTTATCAGCTATGAGTGAAAAAAACGTTGCCAAAATGAAGTAAAAATTATTCCTATCACTTTGAGAAAATTCTGGTTTTCTTTATTATCCTTTAAGATTTTTATTAAGCAACAACAAAACATTTTTAAACAAATAACAAATGTCCACTTTAACACTCTTCTATTTCTAAATACATTTAATGTAACGTTTGTCTATTTTTTTGTTGATTTTTAAAAATTGAACAACTTTGAAGACTAACAATCTTTAATAATAGTATATTGAGCAACAAGTTTAGAAAAGTAAAATTCTACTGAACGAGTATTGTGGCATATCCAGTTTTTTGCATTTAATAAGTATTTTGCACTTTGTTAATATTATAAAATTGCATTTTTGAAGTGTTTAAATGACAATTGCAAAATGTTTCTAAATGATATCAAAAAGGGTTTTAGTCTTTGGTTTTAGTAGTTGTTGCAAAAGAAAAGAAGACCTCAGAAAGTTAATTATGAAAGTTTCTTCGTACTAGTTAAGACTGTTTTGATGCAGAAATTGGTTGTTAAGCACTTTTCTAAACGATTTTGTATTCAGTATAGTTGACAATTACTAAATAACAGGCGAAATAGTTATTTACAATAGAGTAATGTAGAATTTTACAGCGCGATAACTTTGTTTGTGGAACGAACCAAATCTAACTTCATAATCTCAACAATCTGAAACTTATTTTTTGTGTTTTGCGTCTTTAACAACGCTATAACATTAACGTTTTACTGCGTTAAAGCTTCTCAGAGTGCGTTAATAGCCTAGTGTATTTTATATTTTAATGTTGGTGAAAATGCTGTTTTAATATTATTTCTGAATTTTCGGTGAAAAGTCTTAAGAATTAATTTCCAGATTATGCACACTCAGAAAAGGCAGTTCGAGTT